AAAAAAATGAATGTAATAAAACAAGAATAATAAAGAAACATTAATAAATGAAAATATAAGAAAATAAAATACCGAAAAATAAATAGAATGAATGATTTAGAATTAATTAAATACAACAAAGAATATTTAAAGAAAAGAAATAAGAAATAGAAATAAATAAAATAAACTCAATAATAATTTCAATAAACATATTAGTAAATACATAAAATATGAAATAAATTAAAGAAGTAAAAAAAAAATGAAACCGACAATATAAAAGAAGTTAAAAAGATGAAAAATATTATATAACATTGTTTCTATCAAGAACAAGTATACTTACTAGAATTAACTAATATCATAAATTCTCTATAGGACAAGAAACAATATAAACAAATCTATTTATATTTAATTTACTGTTTATTCAAATAAAACTATAATTAGATTCTGTTTTTAATAATTATTACAGTTCAAATAAATGTTGAAGTTCGTATTAGAAAGTGAAATATTTTGGTTATTATTTACAAAATGTTTGTATTATTTATGTTCAATTCATAATGTTTTAGTTATTAAAAAGCTTATAGATTTAAAAAAATATAATAATAGTTAAAGAGTTTTTTAAGAATATTAATATTCATAAGTTTTGATAAACTTTTTAATTTGATGGAGTTATTTTTCTTTAAAATGATGAAATTTGTAAAAGCAACCAAGAATTAGTTAATACTTTGAATTGTATTTTCTGAGAATAAAACCACAGAGATAAGTAAACAAAAGATAATTGACAAATGGAAAAATGGTGATTAATCAAATAAATTAAAACTAATATACTCTTTTTAAAAAAAGATTTAATTCATTAACTCAAAAATAGAAGAAACTTAAAATCTTCGGTTTATTTCTTCACTATATCCATCAGTAAATCTAGGATTTTCATTGAACTCTCGTTGAGGGGTTTGTTGACTTCTTTTAAATTCTCTTCTTTCTGCATCTTCGACCTCACGTTTGATTCTCTCAAATTCTTCTTCTTGTTCTTTTTGTTTCTTAAATTTTTCTTCTGAAATTTTAGCTTCTATTCTATTTTTTTTCATTTCTATTCGTAGCAAATCAACAATCAAATCAAGACAGTTTGTATCAATTTTATTTTCTTTAAAGAATTTTGGGAGAGTGTCACTGTAATTAAGTAATTGTCCAAATATAACCCAGAATTCTTCTCCTCTTTCTTTTTGTATTCTTGCAATAATTTCTTCTTTTTCAGCATTTAAAGTATTCATATCTCCAGTGCAGTCATAGTTTTTTATTTCAAAGCCTAACCTATCAAATGCATCAATAATATGTTTTTTTGATTCAAAATCAGGTACTTCTTTCAAAATCTCTCTTGTTAGTTCTGAATGATCTTCTCTTAGAGATGGTGTTGAAGAATTTATACTTTTTTGAAGCCCTTTATCTGTGTTTCCTGTAGGTTCTTCATGACTTATTTCTTGTTTTTGGTTCATTTCATCAAAAATGATTGTTGTCATACCCTTAACATCAAACATATCATTAATAATAATCTTTACTGTTGGAAGATTACAAATATCATCAGCAGACATCCTTGATGATGCAATTTTTGAAAGAAGATTATCAATAATCATTTGAATAGTACTTGAATATATTTCAGGAATTTTTGGAGGATTAACTTTTAATATTTTTCTAATAACATCAGCAACATTACTTCCACAAAAAGCACGGGTTAAAGTACATAATTCATAAAGAATACAACCTAATGACCACATATCACTCTTATAATCATAAGGAATACCTTCACAAATTTCAGGAGAAAGATAATAAGGAGTACCAATAACAGTATTTGCAATTTGTTCCTTTTCAGAAAGCATTCTTCCAATTCCAAAATCACCAATTTTTACAGTACCATCAGCCATTAAAAATACATTTTGAGTTTTCATATCTCTATGAAGAATACGAATTGAGTGAAGATAACGAAGACCAAATGTAATTTGAAGAAAGATATTCCAAACTAAATCTTCAGAGATTAAATCTCCCATTCTTTTTTTAATGAAACGAGATAAATCCCCACCACGAGCATATTCCATTACAATTATTAAATTCTTTTTATTAACAAAACTATCAATAAAATGAATAACATTATTATGGTTTACTTTCTTCATTATTTTAACTTCATTCATTGCTTTTTCTCTATTATCTGTATCAATAGCAATCCTTTTTACAACTACTTGTCTTCCTGAACTATCTTTTCCAAGATATACTTGTCCATAGCCTCCTTGTCCTAATTTTTTATAAATTTTATATGTTTGAGAACGTTGTTGAGATATCATTAATCTTTTCCTCTATTTCAATTACTTAGATTGGTTATTTCCAGTGTACTAGTTTCTATCTCAGATGCTCTATTTTTAAAATAGATACTAAACTGTTTCATATATTTTCATATAGTTTAAATTTTTAGGAAAC